GGGGGGGGCAGATTAGATCGGGGATGGGCCCCCCGGCTTTGAAGGTGGAAGCGCTGCCTCCATCTGCCTTTCTGTTGCTTCTGTTTGCGGCCAAAGGGTTCTAACTGAGCCGTCTGTCATACCATGATACTGCAATGGAAACCTGTCCGTGTGTCAGCTTCTCTTAGCGACTGCTTACATCATCCTGCCCGTCGTGGGCGCGGCTCTCCCAGGGAGTGTTAGCTACCGTTGTGTAACAGGCCTGCATGGCCCTGTCGATACCTCCTTCCTCCCCCCAGACAGCTGAATCATGGCTCACTAGGGGGGTGCTTACATTTCTAGCCATGTGTGTCATTAGTTTTGTAGGGAAAGGTACTCCGACTACGATCCGTTCCAGCAGCTAGCTGCTACCTTTTCCTGTTCTCTTTAACCTCTCCCTTTAGCTGCTCCCTTTAGCTGCTCCCTTTAGCCTCTCCCTTTAGCTGCTCTCTCTACCTGCTTCCTTTAGCCTCTCCCTTTAGCTGCTACAGTACCTTTATCTGCTTCCTTTAGCCTCTCCCTTTAGCTGCTCCCTTTAGCCTCTCCCTTTAGCTGCTCCCTTTAACCTCTCCCTCTAGCTGCTCTCTCTACCTGCTTCCTTTAGCTTCTCCCTTTAGCTGTTCCCTTTAGCCTCTCCCTTTATCTGCTCTCTCTACCTGCTTCCTTTAGCCTCTCCCTTTAGCTGCTCCCTTTAGCCTCTCCCTTTAGCTGCTCTCTCTACCTGCTTCCTTTAGCCTCTCCCTTTAGTCTCTCTCTTTAGCTTCTCTCTTTAGCCACTGTCTTTAGCCACTCTCTTTTCCTGTTCTCTTTAGCAGCTCTCTTTGGCTCATGTTGGGTGTAGAGATCATTGGAAGTTTGGCAGGTTACTGCTTTTTGCACCACTTCTCTTGCTTGATTTGTGTTGTTAAACTGAAGAAGCTGGTGGTTTGGGCAGTTTCTTCACTTTGTGAAACATAACCCTACATCTCATAAGAAGCCCTTGTTACATGTCATTGCATGGAGGTTCAGATATGAGCACCTGCTATGAATCCCTGGCATACGTCCTGCCGTCAGTCAGTATACAGAATGCCTGTAACCCTGCAATCTCTGAGTAATACAGCAGAGATGTTACACTGCAAACATTCACTAAAAACCAGAGACATGAGCCATCCGCTCTCACCCTTTACTTCTGCTAATGTCAATGATTATCCCCTTATTATAATTCCTGGTATGCCAGCATACTTTGCCAGGTGTACCCCATCCCGGGTGTACCCTATTGCAGGTGTACCCCATCCCGGGTGTACCCTATTGTAGGTGTACCCCATCCCGGGTGTACCCTATTGCAGGTGTACCCCATCCCGGGTGTACCCTATTGTAGGTGTACCCCATTCCGGGTGTACCCTATTGCAGGTTTACCCCATCCCGGGTGTACCCTATTGTAGGTGTACCCCATTCC